GTAAATTAGCATAAAGGATGTTCGGTAGTTTTCACTGGTGAAATGAGTGGCGTTCAAGATATGTGGGAGAGCTTGAAAACTGTACTGGTACCTCCTCCACTTCACGAGCAGTATAAGAATGGGGTGAGGCTTCGGTGTGACGAGGTGACCTCTTTGAACCTCAGTTTCTTCTTCTGTAAAATGAAGAAAATACCTATCTCCTAAGAGATGAATGATGGGGTATATCCAGCACTTGGCTTGGCACTTAATAATTGTCCATAATGTTGTTTCCTTACCCTTCTACCACCTTCATCAAAGTACTCTGAGTTACCTATTTTATGCCGCTTATCATGTTTTCTTAAGGGAGCCCTAGTGCCACAGTGGAGCCCTGGTCTCGCAATGGTTAAGAGCTCAGCAGCTAACCAAAAGGTCAGTGGTTTGAATCCACTAACCTCTCCTTGGAAACCCTATGGGGCCGTTCTACTCTGTCCTATAGGGTTTCTATGAGTCAGAATTGACTGGATGGCACCAACAAGAACAAGTGGTGCAGTTACTAAAGCGCTCGGCTACTAAACGGAAGGTCAGCAGTTTGAACTCACTAGCCGCTCCATGGGAGAAAGATGTGGCAGTCTGGTTCTGTAAAGATTACAGCCTTGGAAACCCTATGGGGCAGTTCTACTCTGTCCTATAAGGTTGCTATGAGCCGGAATCGACGGCAATGGGTTATTTCAAAAGATTATAATTCTGTCTGGGTGTGGCCTAGGAATCTGCAGTGTCATCAAGCACCCTCAGCTATGCTGAATTAGGTGTTCAAGCATCACACTTTTGAGAAATCTATGATCTAAGAAAGCTTGCTTCAGAAACCCTAGAGCTGTATTTCCCCCAAACATGGATTAGGAGCTGTAATGGATTGAATTGTGTCCCCCAAAAATAGGTATTGTAAATCCTAAACCCTATGCCTGCAGGAGTACTAATCCTATTTGGGAATAGGGTTTTCTTTATGTTAATGAAGCCATACCAGTGGAGAGTGTGTCTTAAACCAATCACTCAGGAACCAAGAAAGAGAAGCAGGCAGAGACAATGCCTTCCCCTAGAGCCGGCATCCTGAATTAGGACTTCTAGCCTCCTAAACTGTGAGAAAATAAATTCTGTTTGTTAACGCCACCCACTCACGGTATTTCTGCTGTACCATCACTAGATAACTAAGACAGGACCCAAACAACACAGCACACCTAGTTGTCCAGTTCTACGTGGTGCCTCTGACTGAGCTGACCTAGAAACCTGAAGCGAGCTATCAGACTTCACTACTCTTCTACTCTTCTTGATAACGTGGAAATGTTATTTTTGCCTCCCCAGCATCCATTTCTACTTTTTCTGGTAATTCCCTAAATTTTCCCCCCTCTCAGTCCAAGTGGTTCAAGTGGAGCTGACACCCTCTCGCCCACCCCCAGACTCAAGTCAATGAAGGTTAGCCTCTGGGACATTTGCAAGAACAAGGGAAACGGATACTCTTTCTGAAGGGATGCTAAGCTGGTGGGAACCTAAGCCTGGAGCTGCTGGTGGCCAGGGCCAGTCTTCCACAAGAAGAGAGCCTGTTCAAGAATGTGCACTTGTGCCATCTTTAGGCCCCTGGAGTTCCTGGTAGTGAATTAATAATTCTCTTTGTGCTTTATGTCAGTTTGAGCTGTAATTTATCCTTGTACCTGACAGTTCCAACTAATACACACAGCTAACCCTCAAATGAATGTGTTTAGATCATTGTCTTAGTTATCTAGCGTTGCTATAACAGAAATACCAAAAGTGAGTGACTTTAACAAACAAATTTATTTTCTCACAGTTTAGGAGGCTAGAAGTCCGAATTCAGGACGCTGGCTCTAGGGGAAGGCTCTCTCTGCTGGCTTGGAGGGAAGGTCTATGTCTCTTTTCAGCTTCTTTTCCTTGGCTCCTTGGGGATCTTCAGGTGGCATGGTATCTATTTTCCCTCATCTCTGCTTTTTTTTTTCTTTTTTTTTACTTCTTATAGCCTAGAAAACCCCATGGGTCAGTTCTACTTTGTCACATGGGGTCGCTATCTGCTCTTTTATATCTCGAAAGAGATTTAAGACACATCCTATGCTAATACTGTCTCATTAACATAACAAAGAAAACCCATTCCCAAAGGGGATTATAACCACAGGCATAGGGGTGAGGATTTACAACACATATTTTTTGGGGGACACAATTTAATCCATTACAGTCACCATATCTCTCCTCCTCTCACCCCTACATCCCTCTGCATGAACAGATCCCCCTGTACGTCTCATCACAGAATGCTTACTTTCTAGCCACAACTGAAATCCTAAGGACCCAGTTTCTCATGTGCCTGTAGGCAGAGGACCTTGCTCCTTAGGATGAGGCCCAGCTCACTCTTCTTCCTCCCTCTGAGGGAAAAAACCCTTTTCATATGAGACTCTTGGTACAAAGCTCACTGTTCATTTACAAATTTCCTGATTACTTAATTCTCTTACCACTTGGACACATGGTTCACAGTCTCCCCTTCCATCCTAGCTCTATACTTCTGGAAGGATTTTACCATTCCATTCAATAGCGTGTAAGCATAGTTCAGGTACTTTGTGCCAGGTACAGTTCTAAGCACTTTACATATATTTTAACCTACTCAATCTTTATCATAACATGTTATTGTTAGGTGCCTTTGAGTCAATTTCTACTCATAGCAACCCTATGTGACAGAGCAGAACTGACCCATGAGGTTTTCTAGGCTGTAATCTTTAAAATTGCCAAGTCTTTCTCCCGAGGAGTCACTGGGTGGGTTTGAACCACCAATCTTTCAGTTAGCAGCCAAGTGCTTAACCACTACGCCACCAGGGCTCTTTTATCCGAGCATGGGGTATTATTATGCCCATTTTACAGATGAGAAAACTGAAAGGCTACTTAGACTTGCCTAGAGTTACCCAGCTACGAAGCGGTACAGCAGGGCCAAGAACCAGGTAGTCTAATTGCAGAGTTTGCGCTCATAACATACACTTTAGCCTTCCAGTTCCTTGTTTGCTATAGTTGTAACATCCTCCCCATCCACTCTACGTTGGTCCTGCGGAGGCAGGAGGGAGTCAGTGCCTCCTGCAACTAAGTCAATGGACATTTGGAAAGTCCTTGGAAAGGAGGAGATGTCAGCTGAGCATGGCCGGGGCAGCCCCTGGTGATCTGGCAGCTCCCCTTCCTATAGCTCAATTATTTGTTGTCATCTCCCATGGCAATGCACCAGAAGCAGGGATATAGGTTGAGCTTAAGGCACTGCAGCAGAAAAGCTCCTCCCAGCACCCAATAGTCCTTAATCTTTGGGGGAAGGTTGCTGTATTCAGGAGAGACCATATTCCTTCTGTTTAGGGCTGTCCTTAAAATATGTCCCTTGTTTATGCCCTTGCTCATGGCTTGCTGCTTCTCAGTTCTCTAGAAACTTTGCACAACAGGCTCAAAACCTCGGGCTTTCTTCCTTCCTCTCCGTTTGAAAGGGCCGGGAGAAGAAAGCCAGGGGCTCTGGGGGAAAGCCAGGGAGCAGTTTCGCCACCCTAGCCAATCATATCTAGATCTAGCTTTATCCAGAGCTGCCCTGCTCTGAAAATGCAAGCTTGGGCTCCCCACCCCAACCTTCTGGCTCTCATTTCTCTCTCCAGCTCAACAGCTCCTCCATATTCAGCTCCTGACAAGCCCTTCCAACCATAGCTAACACATTCACCTTCCACTACCCACTCTCTTGACAGGCCCAACCAGTAACGTGCATCCCTGAATCAACACAAACGTCTGACTTGTCTGTTCCAGGCTTCTCACCACTGGTAGAAAAAAACACAAATGTGTGCAGTGGTGCTTTACAAATCTAAGGTTGACAAACTCATTCAGGCCCTCCATGACACCATGCAGGCCAAATTAGTGCTCATAAAAGCTATGCTGTTGTTAGTGGAGTCCACTCGACTCCAACTCACAGGACCCTATGTGTGCAGAGGAGAACCGCTCCACAGGGTTTTCAAGGCTGTGACCGTTCAGCAGACTGCCAGGCCTGTCTTCCAAGGCGCCTCTGGGTGGGTTCTAAGCACCAACCTTTAGGCTAGCAGTCCAGTGCTTAACCGTTTGGGCCACCCAGGGACTCCCACAATAGCTACAATTAGGACTATTTGGGGGCTTACTATCTACCAAAACACTGTCCTAATCACTTTAAAGCACCTTATTTAGCCCGCAAAACACCATTACTGTGAGATAGACACTACCGTAATTCCCATTTCACAGAAGGGAAAACTGAGGTTCTGGGAGGTCAGGAGGTAGCCAGGGTCACACATTGTAACGAAGTTGCACACAATGTAACTTACATCCCGCACGCAGCTGTGTGCTAGGCCAGCCAGTCCCCCAGCTGTCTTTACAGCACTAAGCTGCTGTGTCACCCTCAAGCAGCGAGTTCATCAGCGAAAGGGAAAGAACAAGGAGGGAAAAAAAAGAACCGTTACAGAAAAATCCGGAAAGGAGAAGGGGACGCACGCACGGCGATACTTCCTGGTCATCGTTACTCAGCACTTTAGGTTTCTCCGGGCCGCGGGGCGGACGCGAGGGCGTGGCAGACCTTTTCCAGAAATCCAGCCCTGCCTGGGCCGTCCCGGGACTGTCCTTCTCCACCCTCTACGCTTTCGATTAAGGCCTGGCTGACCCCTTCCCAGGTAACCCGGAAGGGGCCCTGTGGCTCTGGAGATGGCGATCCGCTTCCCCACCTCCCACCGCGTGACGCACTGCATGAGTCCTCTAGGTCATTCGACGGCTCACACAGAACACCATTCCGAAGGGATGCAGGCAGGGTGGCGGGAACGATTTCGGGACAGGGGTGCGTGGAGCTCCGTGGGCGCCCGACAGCCCCACCCCCCGTCAGCGGCCCCGCCCCAACCTCGCGGCTCGGCGGCCCTCCGGGAGGCGGGGCCACGCTGGCGGAATCTTGGCGGGTGAGGCGCGGGCGCGGGCGCGCCCAGACGGGCGCGCGCCCGGACGCCGCGGCGCCCCGCCCCGTTGCTGCGCTATAAAGGCGAGGCGGGTGGTGTGCTTTTGGCTCAAGCTCTGTTTAGTGCTGTCGTTGTGTTTTTTCTGTTTGTACTGTCGCTTGTCAGACCCCCCAACCGCCAAAATGGTGAAGCAGATCGAGAGCAAGGTACGAGCCTCCAGGGAAGTCCAGGGCGCGCTGCAGCCTCCTAGCTGGGTTAGGCGGTGGGCCAGAGATGGAGAGGCCGTCCCTCCGCATTCCTGGGGGAAAGAGAGGCTGCGGCTTGGCCTTTGGCTGCGAGAAGCCCAGGCCTGGGCGCCCCGGAGGTGGCCGAGTATTCCCGGGGGAGGGGAGGAGAGGGACGAGGGCCCCCAGGGGGGCGAGGTCGGGGTGCTCAGCGCTTGGCTGTCCGTGCGCCTGGGTGATGCACGCGCGCGAGGAGCGCAAAGGGTTCCCACACTGCGCCTCTTGCACTCTCCCATCTGGCGAACCCGTTTGGAAGAAAGTGAGGGCATAGAGGGGGTCTGCCCTTGGACCTCATCTGTATTCGAATTCGGGCTTAGGCAAGGAGATAGAGGCCTCCTTGGGGAAGGTTTGAAGTCGCTGGCCGCCAGTCCCACCCCGTGCGCGACTAAATCCACCCGCGTAGGGTGGGGTGGATCCGCGGTTGCTTCCATCACGGTCCGGACTCAAAGATGACGCGTGCTGTACCCTCATGAAGGGGGCGGATCCAGGCCGGAGACCCCCCTCGGGCGCGCCAGCTGGGCCCCGAGGCCACGGGCAGAGCGACGGGCCCTGGGTGGCTGCGAGGAAGTGAGAGCCCGGCTGCGCCCACCCGACTCCTCCTGCGGCGCAGGGCGTGTTTCCGGCAGCGCTGGCTTTGGAATGACTCAGTCCCCGAGGCCGGGGCGGGGGGCCTCCCCTGCCAGTCTGTGATTTTCCCATAGTCTGTGGGTTTCACTGGAACCAAGATTCCCCATGAGAGCCGCCGCGCCGGGTTAATGTGCTCGTCGGCCTTCGAGTACCCAGATCCTGGTTTTGTCCTTTTAAAAACAACCAAAGCAGAAATTGTTGCTGTATTCGAGTTACCTAACGGTGTCTGGCATACTGTAGCTACTCACGAAGGCTTGTTAAATGCAGAGTCAGAAAAGTAAATGGAAGAAAATTGGTGCTGCCTGAACGGTGAAAGACCCCTCGCACTCATCAAACAGCAAGCCAGGAAAGGGAGTCCTCACCCGCATTGAGTGCCTTCTCCTTTTAGATGGTGGTGTGGGCTTCTGAAACAGGTTTCCCGGTAATGGGCCCTCATTTTTTCTTACTTTATAACCAGAAAACATACGTGATCCTTGTAGAAAATTTGGGAGGGGAGAGAACGCCTTTGAGATTTATTTGTACTGTTTTTGTTTTGGGTTTTATTTTTTTCCCCTTGCAATTTAGCCCAAACACTTTCCATGTAATTAAGAGCTCTTTGTAATCGTTTTAATGTCTGAAAACATTTGTGGACATTTAGGACGTTTCAATGTTTCAATTAATTTTTTTCATAAACTTTGTGCAAAGAGCAGGCTGTTTTCTTAGATTAGAACCTCAAGTGCGATTATTGGGCAATGGGTGTGACCTAACAGGTGAGAACCTATTAAACAAGGCAGAAGACCTTTGAGTACACACCGCAAACAGAAAGTTGATTTTGATTCCTGGAGCAAACTTTCAATCCTTCCTTCTCTGTTGTAGTTGTCGTAACTATGGCAGTGCTTCCTCCCCTCATCAGTGAGATGTTCAAGGATAACAGGAATGTCATTACTCACAAAAGCATCCCAGCCCTAAGACAGTCAATTGACATTCAAAATTATGGTCCGCAGCCTCTAATGAAAAGTTTAACTGTAATTTGATTGTTATTTGTAAATATTAAATACTCCTTAGATTTTCATCCTGATGAGCTAAAAGTTGTGCCTTTGGCCATCCAGAGTAACTTTGGTTCATGGCACTGTGTTGGTAGTTGAGGGCACTAGGATCTGATAATGGACTGTAAAAAAGGTGATGGGGAAGAAATCAACACAACACAGTATTTTTTTATTTTAATTGTACTTTAGATGAAGGTTTACAGAGCAAATTAGTTTTTCATTAAACAATTAGTACACATACTGTTTTGTCACATCGGTTGCCACCCCCCCTCCAATATGTCAGCACTCCCCTTCTCGATCTTGGGTTCCTCATTCCATTTGTCCGGTTTTCCTGTCCCCTCCTGCCTTCTCATCCTTGCCCCTGAGCTGCTGTGCCCATTTAGTCTCATTTTGTTTTATGGGCCTGTCTAGTCTTTGGCTGAATGTGAACCTCAGGAGTGACTTCAGGATTGAGTTAAAAGGAGGATGTCCAGGGGCAATACTCTCAGGATTTCTCCAGTCTCTGTCAGACCAGCAAGTCTGGTCTTGTTTTGTGAGTTTGAAATTTGTTCTGCATTTTTCTCTAGCTCTGTCCAGGATCCTCTATTGTGATCCCTGTTAGAGCAGTCAGTGGTGATAGCCAGACACCATCCAGTTGTGCTGGACTCAGTCTGGTGGAGGCTGCTGTAGTTGTGGTCCATTAGTCCTTTGGGCTAATCTTTCCCTTGTGTGTTTGGTTTTCTTCATTCTCCCTTGCTCCCAACGGGGTGAGACCAGTGGAGTATCTTAGATGGCCGCTTACAAGCTTTTAAGACCCCAGATGCTACTCACCAAAGTAGGATGTAGAACATTTTCTTTATAAACCGTGTTACGCCAATTGAGCTAGATGGTCCCTGAGACCATGGTCCCCAGCCCTCAGCCCTGTAATTTGGTCCCTTAGGGAGTTTGGTTGTGTCAATGAAGCTTCCATGACCTTGCCTTGATCAGGTTGTGCTGAGTTCGCCAGTATTGACTACACAGTATTTTTAAAAAGAAAAAATTGTGACTACCGTCTGTTGAACTCCTGCTATCATCTACATAAGTTGGTTGGTTTTTAATTAGATTATTTGGCTACCATTTACCCCTTTAAAGAAAACCAAGACATTGGATATAGATGTTTTTGTTTTGATTTATTTTCATCTGCCTGTTTCTTGGTCAGCAGTGACTAATTTGTGCTTAAAATGAGAAGGTTACCTTCCTAGGGTTATAGTATCCAGACCATTGGTAAATAATTCACAGAGGTTGGATTTCTTGTTATCTTCTTCTGGTGGAGTTTGTTTTACGTGCATTCCTTATGTAAAATAAATGTAAGGAACACTCCATGAAGAACTTAAATTATTGTTCGTTTAATCAACAATGAGGGCAGATTTTTGAGATAAAGGGCAGAAATCAAAGATTGATTAGCAGTATGATCTCAACTCTTGAAACCCCATTTAAAAAAGAAAGTGCAAGGAAGTTTGCTTAATGTTACCCGACATCTGATTATCTGAGTTTTGGGATTTGAAGATTATTTTCCTTGACTTTTTTTTTAACTTTTCACATTTTCTGCCATAGATAATATTAGTTTAATCAGACAAGTGTTCATTTTTAAGGTAACTTTCTTTTTTTTGTTGGTGTTTCAGTTGTAAAATCCTGTGCCATTGTGACTTCTTTGATTGAAGTGACCGTGACCCCTTTCATCAGTCAATAAGCATTTAGTGGATGTCTACCATATGTCTAGACTTGATGTGGAAACAGTTTTAGTACTAATTTGTATTTTTATTTTTCTTTGATTTGCCTAGCTTGAATATAGATTAGTCAATTAGCTGTATTTTATAAAATACATCAATGAAGACATGTATATCGATACACTGTATATGGTACATCTTCCTTTATTTATCAAATGACAGTACCAACAGTATTTAGGATTCCTTCAAACCCAGTTTTTTGTTCTTTTACTAAAAAAACTAGGCCCTGAAAGCAGGATCCCTCCCAGTTGTGCTTTGTGTCCTTTCAAGTCTCCCAAGGCTTTTGGAAACGCAACTATTTAACATATGCCTTTTTCCCTCCTTAGGAAGATTTTCAGGCAGCCTTGAACAGTGCTGGAGATAAACTCGTTGTAGTTGACTTCTCAGCCACATGGTGTGGGCCTTGCAAAATGATCAAACCTTTCTATCATGTGAGTATTAAACAACTTTTACTTTGTAAGAGATTTGTTTTGGGGGTTGCTGGTCACAGAGTAGGAAAGAAGGAAAGTAAACCTTTTTTTTTCCCCCTGTTGGATCTTCGGTCTATAAGTAGCAGTGTAACAACTTAATTTAGGTTTGATACATGTAAGTCATTTGAGATAACTTCCAGAAGTTAGTTTGGTTTGTCTTAAATGATTTTGCTGTTGTTATTAAAGTAGAAACTGGGCCCTATTTAGTAAAGGCAGGCCTCAAAGTTGTGCCAAGTTAGTTTACAGCAGGAGGAATTTTATTCAGAGAAAATACATGTCTCGTAATACCTACTAGGTTCCTAGTCTAAATTTTTGGAATTTTAATTCTTCTCTGCTTTTATTAAGTTTCCATTTAAGAAGCTTGAGTATGTTGACTGCCATTACCCAATTTTAAATCTCTTTGGCTTTCTCGTTTTAAATTTTCCAGTCCCTCTCTGAAAAATATGGCAATGTGGTGTTCCTTGAAGTTGATGTGGATGACTGTCAGGTACGTGGTTGGAATTTAAAATACTGCTGAGGTCTCACGTTGGCCTTTTTCTCTGAAATGTACGGGGCTTGTTTTCATAAGTATGTTAAGTACTACTAGAACTTTAACCCTAATAAAAAGTTCTATTTTGCAAGAACAGGTAATTGTGCCTGCTGTGAGCTAAATCCTACATACCAGGAGCTGTGTATATCACATTCTAAAATAAGCATGATGGGTGAGACTTCTGTATTTTATCAGCCGCCTACTTTTCTAAAACCCTACGTTCTATCTATGAGATTCTGAGGTGTCCAGTAAGTAGACACTGCATTTGATTATTATTAAATCTGTAGATTTGATGGTGTCACTAAAAAATTGGGAAGATGCTTGTAAGTTTTAAGGTCCTTTGCGAACTTCTAATGATACAGGAGAGGGTGTTCTCAGACCTATTGTATTGATATCAGTCAATTAGAAAACCAAAATTTTGTAAAGAACAGACATCAAGGTGCCTCATACAAAGATGAGAGAATGATTTGGGGAGAAATTCCAGGGTTGAGGACTTACATAGCACTTGATATACACACAGGCACTGTTCTATGTATTTTTTCAAATGTAGGTTATTTAATCTTTAGTGCTATTATCGTTCCCACTTTACAGACACCACAAAAAAAAAAAACCAAACCCATTGCCGTAGAGTCAATTCCAACTCATAGCAACCCTATAGCACAGAATAGAACTGCCCTGTAGGGTTTCCATGGAGCGCCTGGTGGATTCGAACTGCCAACATTTTGGTTAGCAGCCAGGTCTTAACCACTCTGCCATCAGGACCCCAGCAACCCTCTAGGACGTAGTAAAACTGCCCAGTAGGGTTTCCAAGGCTGTAATCTTTATGAAAGCAGACTGACACATCTTTCTTCCACCGAGCTGCTGCTGGATTCAGACTACCATCCTTTCATTTAGCCGCTGAGCACTTAACCACTGTGCCCCAATAAACAAATTGTCCCTGGAGTTAAGAGTTGGTAAGCAGCAGTGCCAGGATTTAAAATGAGGTAGTCTGGCTTCCAAGCCCTTCCTCTTAGCCACCACACTTAGAGGGTGCTCTGTTTCTGTGAGTGTAGATCAGGTACTTAGCACATGGTCCCACCTCTCACAGCCCACTGAACTCTGAGAGCTTGTTACAGCGTGCCATTGCCTTGGAGCTCTACACATGTGTAAGCCATTACGCGGGCTTACATTTTTGCGTACCCCAGTGGGCAGAAGGAGTTAGCTGCTCAGTTATGGTATGATTGTGGCATCAAAGGCGCTGGACCTAGGTTCTGTGACTTTCTGCTTTAGGCTAATCCCTTGTGTTCCTTGAGCATTGTTTGGTTCTCAGTGTATGACCAGATCTTAATACCTGCCGCATCCACCTCCCAAAGTTCCTTATTCATTAAGCAAACATAGAATGCCTAATAAAGGTAGTAAAGGGTCAATAAGAACAGGCATGTGGCAGTACTTTATAAATCTGTCAGGATCTGTATAACTTGGGCTTTGTTTATGTTCCTTTGCTCCTGACTCATTTCCACAGAGACTTGCTGACACCAAATTGCTTATTCCCAGCCCATGTACTGATTTCCCACTTATGCCTTTGCTTGTGCTCTCTTGTCTACCTGGCACATCCTCTCCTTCCCTACTTCTTAAACCTGGCTAACTCCTGCTCAGAAGCGTCACGTGTCCCCTAGGAACTTTTCTCAGCTACCCCTTATACACCCCCGTCTAAGTTAGTTTCCCTCCTCTGTGTCCCCATGATGTCTTTTGTCCCTCTTCTCCCATGGCATTTATGCTGGATGGGTTGGCTCCTGTAGCTAGACTGCTTGCTTCCGTTCCAGGCTCTGGCACTTACTAACTGTGCAGTCTTAGTTACTTATCTTTTCTGCCTCAGTTTGATCTGCTGTAAAATGGTGATGTTAATCTGATATAAGGTGGTTGTCAAGATCAAATGAGATGGTACCTATAAACTGCTTAGAATAGTGCCTGGCACATAATAATTACTCAGTAAATCTTAACTGTTATTCTAATGATTGCTTAGTGTTTGTTCCCCACCACTAGTCTCTAAGTTTCTTGGGGTCAGGGACCCTGTCTTACTCACCTTTGTTTCCCCTTCACCTAACACACCTGCCTGGCATGTAGTAGATGTCGGATGAATGAATGTTGTATGGTTATTAGTAAAGGTATTCTTCTAGATGGGCCCGAGTTTGTTTTTTTCTTTGTTTATCGTACTTCAGGTGAAGGCTTACAGAACAAATAGTTTCTCATGAAACAGTAGTACACATATTGTTTTATGACATTCGTTAACAACCCCGCAACATGTCAACCCTCTCCCTTCTTGACCTTTTTTTTTTTTGGTGAAAATATACATAGCCAAAGATACACCATTTCAAAAATTTCTACATGCACAGTTCAGTGACGACGA